TCACTTGGTAGCCCAGGCTGGCCTCGAACTCACAGAGATCCGCCTGGCTCTGCCTCCCGAGTGCTGGGATTAAAGGCGTGCGCCACCACCGCCCGGCATTAGTTCTTTACCAAATACATCAAGTTGATTTTATTAGTCTCTTTAAAACTTAAGTTTATTTTTGAAATAAAAAATTGATTTATGTGTACAGTGTATGTGCACATACACATATGTGTGTACGAAAGCAGGCATGTACCTGCCACAGCTATCATGTGAAGGTCAGAGGACAGCTCTCAAGAGTCAGTTTTCTCTCACCATCTTGTAGGATCCAGGGATCAAATGAAACTTTTGTTCAAAGTGTTGTTTGTTTGTTAAGATGGGGTCTTTCACACAGTTTTGACTGCCCTGGAACTTACTATGTAGACAAGATGGCCTCGAACTTACAGAGGTCTGTTTGCCTTTGCCTCCAAGTGCTGGGATTAAAGGAAGTACCAAAATACTGGCCTGATTTAAGTTTTAATTAGAAAACTGTACAGTTACTTTTCCCATTGCTGTGACAAAATACCCAGCAGAAGCAGCTTAAGGAATGCTTTATTGGGGGCTTAATAAAGTTTGAAAGTTCAGGACCTTGTGAAGGGAAGGCCTGGTGGCAGCTGCATAAAGCAGCTGTTAAAGGGCACACAGTGAGGAAACAGAAGGCGATGAATGATACAGTTATCCTTTTTAAACCCAGCACTTCAGGATGAGCCTTCTCCCTTCAGTAGAACCTTCTGAACACCCCCTCGTAGGGGCCCATTGCTAGATCATAATCCTTATTTATCTTGTCTAACAGTAGATCCTAAATCTCCTTTCAGAAAGGGTTATTGCCTATGCCAAAGAGAGGGATGCACACACAGGCAAGGAGAAGAACCTGGGCAGATAGCCTTCCTGGAATTCCCCATTTTGTCTTTTAGCATAAGAATATACCAGCAGCTAGGCACCCTAGTCCATGCCCATGCTCCCAACACTAAGGAGGCTGAGGTAATAGGGTTGATTGCAAAGTCTGAGGTCAGCCAGGTCTGCAAAGAGACTGGTCTCAAAAACAAGCCATATCCTCTAGTCCAAACCGATTATTCATTGAACCTAAGCTCAAAAATGGACAGTTTTCTGTGAGTGTTTGGGTCTTCCCCACATCCCCAAGACAGGGTTTCTCTAAGTAGCCTTGGCTGTCCTGGAATTCACTCTGTAGACCAGGCAGACCTTGAAATCATAGAGATCTACTTGCTGGGATCAATGGTGTGTGCCACCACCACCCGGTGGGTCTTGATTTCTTAAGACTCCATGTCTGTAATTTTCTTTGCTCTGAAGTGAATTTGTGTTGAATATTTTTACTGTTTTTTGGATACAGGGTCCCAGTATGTATAGATGGTATACCTAGGCTGGCTTCAGACTAGTGACCTTCCTGCCTCTGTCTTTCTAGTGCTACCATGGCAAGGTGCTGGGATTTCAGGCATTGTTGCCATGCTCTGCTAAATCTGAAACTTTCTAAACATAGCGTGAGTACTCAGAATGTTAGAGATTGGGTCTCCCAATTAGAGACATAATTTTTTAAGTCTTTTTACAAGCTTTTCTTTTAAGGCAGGCATAGTGCCCCACACCTTTAATCCTCATTCTAGGGAGGCAGAGTCAGGCAGATCTCTATGAGTTCAAGGCCAGCCTGGTCTACAGAGTGAGTTCCAGGATAGCCAGAGCTATAGAAACCCTGTCTTAGAAAACAAAAACAAATAACAATAACAAAACATTACACACAAATACTTTTTTTCTTTTAAATTTCTTTGTTTTATGTGTATTTTTCTTGCATGTATGTATATATGTATACTATGTGCATGCCTGGTGTACTTGGGGGTCAGAAGAGGGTATCATATACTCTGGAACTGGAGTTACAGATGGTTGTGAACTGTCCTGTGGGTTCTGGGAACAGAATCTACATCTTTTACAAGAGCAACAAGCACTCTTAACAAATGAGCCATTACTCCAACCCTTTCTTTAAAGTCATACATTTATCCACGTGAGTCTTTTATTGAAACCAGAGTCTCACCATATAACACTAGCTGGCCTTGAACTTGTCATTCTCCTGCCTTAATCTGCCTGGGGCCGGGAGTACAGATGCCACCATGACCAGCAGCTCCCTGTGCTGAGTATTAAACCCAGAGCCTCCTTCACCCAGCCACATTCTGTACCCACACTACTTCTCTCTCTCTCTTTCTTTCTATGTCTCTCTCTCTCTCTCTCTCTCTCTCTCTCTCTCCCTTCCTTCCTTTCTCTCTCTCTTTCCTTTTTTTCTTTCTTTCTTTTCTTTTCTTTCTTTCTTTTTTTTTTTTTTTTTTACAGCTAAGGCTCTTTCTTTTATCCTTTTTAGGAATATATCATTAGGGTACAAAGAGGAATTTCCACGGAAAACAGCTGGCAGGTAAGCATTTTTGTCTATTAGAAAAAAAATGTTTAAACTTGTGGCCCAAGCTGTCTCTTGGTGTCAGAAAAATCTGGAAAAGTCAAAATACTCATATAGTACAAATCGTATTTCTTTTAGGTGTAAGCTTTTAGTTTTCTTTTTTCTTTTCTTTTTAAATTATGTATATGTATGTGTGTGTCTCAGTGTGGGTTTGTGCAAGTGAATGCCATGCCCACAGAGGCCAGAAGAGGAAGTTGGATTTTGTGGGGCAGGAGCAACAGGCAGTTGTGAGCCACATGATATGGGTGTTGGGACGCAAACTGGCCCTGCAGGAGCAGCGTGTGTTCTTAATCCCTGAACCATTTCTTCAGCCCCGTAAGTCTTCAACTTTAAGACAGATAGACAAAGCCTTTGTTCCTGGTGGTTGGTTAATGTGTATATGGGGTTACCTAGAAGAGTAGAAAGCTGTTCTCCAACTCAGCCCAGAATTGTAAATAAAATGATGTACCATCAGGTCACTGTGTTTTATGGACAAGTCTAACCTTGGACAACTGGAGCTAGCTCCTTCACTGTCCCTAAGGAAGGCTCTTCTTGAGGTCCCTAGCTCTACTTTTCTCAATGCTGGCCTTAAAGAGAAACAGATGATGGAGAAAACTGAAGGTCTTTCCCATCAAGCTTGGCTTCCAAAGGGTAGCTGAATTGCTTATGGGGCTGTTTTAGTGCTTATGGTCACCATCCTACCCCTTCAGCAGTGTTGTCTGTGCTCTGCAACCAGCTCGAACCTTAGCTCAACCTTAGGCAGTCTCTGACCACAGGGCTCCAAATGTAGTCTTTTCTTTGCCGAAGTTTCAGACTGCTTTTATTTGAATATTTATCACATCTTTTATCTGTTGAGAGTTTATGAAGTGTTCACCACTGATTTAAACACATTGATTTACTCCACTCTTAAACCATTCCTCTATAGCAGCATTACTCCCACTTTGGAGTACACTTTGGAGGTAAGTAACTGGTCTGAGGTCACACACTTTAGATGTTGGCAGAGCAGCGTTGCAATGTGCATTTTCTTACACTTAAACACTGTCCTACGTTTGGCTTCCTTGTTATCAGGGAAGGACTTAACATATAACGTTATGTGTATTTGACAAGAATTACCCTACCAGAATAGTCTTTTCTAGCTCTACTACCTTATATGGTGTATTTAACAAAAATGGGCTCTTAGACCCCATCTGAGCCCTACCAAATGAAACTTGTCTTTAGGTGAGGTTCTAGGTGGTATCCAGGTAATTTTTCTACATACATTTGAGAATCAGTGATAAAGACTAAAGTTAAACTATTCAAAAGCATAATAATTTCCTTACCAAGATGTCTTATTTATGGTTTCTAGCTGTAATAAAACAAAAAAGACCAAAGGCAGCTTGGGGAAGAAAGGGTTTATTTCACCTTACAGCTTATAAGTCCATCACTGAGAGAAGCCAGGACAGGAACATGGAGGCAAGAACTGAAGCAGAGGCCATGGAGGAGTGCTGCTTATTGGCTTGTTCCTTATGCCATGCTCAGCCTGCTTTCTTATAGCACTCAGGACCCATCCCATAGTGATAGACCCACAGGGAGCTGGGTCCTCCCACATCAATCAATAAAATGCACCACAGGCCAACATTTTGGGAACATTTTCTCAATTGAGATTCCCCTTTTCACATGATTCCAGCTGGTGTCATACTGACATAAAAGTAACCAGCACACCAGGGCTAGTGGGATTTGGCTGTGTTCTAAGCAGTAATATCAGTATAACCAAGAAACGACACAGGACACAAAAGCTGGACTCTTTGCCAAGATGTGAAGCAGTTTTACCTATAGGAACAGACTTAGTCTCCAGGGGAGGTGGCATTTCTACTGGATGAGGTTTTATTCCTGACAAGGACAAATGACATCAAAGCTGTCTGTTTCCTTTTGTTTTCATTTATGCTCAGTAAACCATTTTTTTTCTTTTTGTAAATCATTAATCTACCCTCTCCATGTACTCAGTTAATATGAAAGATATTTGAAAGTCAATTTGACTTGAAACCAGGACAAATTTTTTTTTGCTATTTAATTCTTGCTGATGCCTTGTGAATTTGGCCAGCATTAACCAGCTTACTGCAGCCCAGGCAACCTTTGGAAGACAGCTATGTGCATTTTCTGGGCTTATCAATCAAAGTGAACACTAGGCAGCACTGCTTGACTTGGTACAAGTGCTCCAGTTCTGGAGCACCAGAGAGTCCCAGGTCAGGAGGTGGAGGGGGTGCTCTGCTGAATCAAAACACCACTGTTTTGTCTTTTACAGATTGTTAGAAGATACAGTGACTTCGATCTACTTAACAACAGCTTGCAGGTAAATGTTTCAAAATATTGGTGACACACATTGGTTGCTTATGATGTCTTTTGGTTAGAAGTCGTATAGATAATCTCCTTTTGTGGATGAGGACTAGTGGTTGCTAGAGTTCATGCAGGTGTATCTGGGGCTCTCTCCTTTACTTTCCTGCTGGCCTCCTCTGCAGTTAGCACTGTAGATCATCATTAAATCGTAACAGTAGAGGGTCTTTTTCTGCTGGACAATTTCTCTGAAGTACACCTTTCTGAATCTCTTGGATTCTAATATTCTTTTTTTTTATTTTAATTTTTCAGTACAATGTGGTGGTATTGTGTTTCCCAAAATATTGTGCACCCTAATAAACTTATCTGGCGTCAGAGACAGAACAGCCACTAGATACAAAGGCTAGAAAATAGTGGCACTCACACCTTTAATCCTAGCATTCCAGAGGTAGAAATCCATGTGTTCAAGGATACAGCCAGGCATGGTGACTCACGCCTTTAATTCCAGAAAGCGAACCTTTAATCCCAGGGAGTGATAGCAAAAACAGAAAGATATATAAGATGTGACCAGAAACTAAAAGCATTTGGCTGGTTAAGCATTTGGCTGGTTAAGCTTTCAGGCTTTGGAGCAGCAGTTCAGCTGAGAGCCATTCAGATATGAGGACACAGAGGCTTCCAGTCTGAGGAAAGAAGATCAGCTGAGAAGTTGGCCAGGTGAGGTTAGCTGTGGCTTGTTCTGTCTCTCTGATCTTCCAGTGTTCACTCCAATACTTGGCTCAGGTTTGATCTTATTAATAAGAACATTTTAAAATTCGTGCTACAGAACAGGGTTTCTCTGTTTAGTCCTTGTTGTCCTGAAACTCACTCTGTAGACCAGGCTGGCCTCAAAGTCAGAGATCTGCCTGCCTCTGCCTCCCTAGTGCTAGGATTAAAGGTATGCTCCACCACTGCCCAGCCAAATTCTAATATTCTAACTTGATGCCCTTAATCAAAAGAAGGAAGCTATGCAAAGGATTTGTCTAGAAAGACAGCCGTTGCCACTAGTTGAAGGCTCTTAGATAGGCTTCAGCACCATCGGGATCCCTGGCCATGTCAAGTCTCTCCCTGGCAGACTGGTCTTCAAGGGACGTGGAGTACTAAAGACTGTCAGGCTTGTGCCATTCCTCAAATGTGAGCAGCAGTGGAAACCTTTCAGTGTGAGCTGGAGTGCTTAGTTGATGACCAGATTTGCTGGGAGGCAAAGGACTGTTCCCTTTCTTAGTGAGCTAGCTATCTTATATGCTTGGTGACCTCTGATGGTGTGCACCTAGATCAGGAGAACTTCTGGATAGAAAGCAACATAATGCTTCCTTTTCCTTCATACAGCCATGTTTTATGTCAGACTTCAGAAAATGGTATCAGTAGAGCCCAAACATTACTTACTGAAAAGCATGAGTACTTTTTCTTCTGCAGTTAGCCCCAGAATCTGCAGGACACTGTGTAGTTGCTGTTGGTTGTGTCTTTGATCCTTGCTGTGTAGTTCTGGCGACCGAGTGCAGGCCTTTCACATGCTGTCACGTGCTCTCTCTGCCCTGAGCTGTTCCTTCAGCCGATATTTGGTTTTAATTTTAGTATGGCCAGTTGAAATCTCTAGATAATAAACATGTTGACAGAGATTGAATGATTGTTATTTTCTTAAGCTAAGTCTTGCCAAGTACTGGCCTGGAACTTATTTTTGCTTCAGTGTAGTTTTGCTTTTTAAAATTAGTGCTTCTGAGATGCATCTTATTTCAAATGCAGATATCCACATACTGTGTGTGTTTCTGGGGGAGGGGATATTTTGAGACAGGGTTCCATTTAGCTTTACTATGTAGCCCATTATGACCTTGAAATCCTCCTGATTCTCCTGCCTTCTCAAATGCTGGAATTACAGAAATGGGCCACCACCTGGCAGTGAGAGCTTTTCTTCATCCAAGTAAACAGAAGAAAGTACATGCAACTTTTTGGCAGTGAAATAATTTTAAGACAACCCCCAAAGGACTCAGAAACCTCAGAATGAAACTCTGATTGTGGTTTTCAGTATCTGATTATTCTCTACAGATAAATGGATTCCTGCTGAAGAAGAGAAATATAATCCTGAGTATGGAGTGGATCTAAGTACAACAGGAACATACTTTAGTGAAATGACATTTCAGAATGTAAATTTACATGCCACATGATATAATTACCTGAAATGTGTAGAAGAAAGATTGGAAGGAAATATGCCAAAATGTTAACACTGATGACCCCCAGGAGGCAGGATTGTGGGTTATGGGTCTTTTCCCCCCTAGCTCTTTATAATGTTTGGTACTTTCCATGTTCTGTTAAAATGCATGTAAACTATATAAGTGAAAAAAAATAGAAGAAAACTGTTTTCCAAAAATTTTTATGGTTATATTTCACAGTAACAACACAGAAAAAATAGCATCGTATTTCAAATAAATGCAATGTCAAATTAGCAGCCAGCCAGGGAGACCATGCAGCAATGAAAAGGGAAGGAAAAAGGGGCTGAAATGGTGGGAAAACCCAGGCTCTGGCCTGGTTTCAACCTCAGATCAGCCATCTCTTAGGTCTCATTGTCTCCTTCTCAAGTGAATGGTTGACTTCTGTGGTCTCTCCTACTCCAAATGTTTTATGATTTGTATTTGACTGCCCATTGTTGACCTTGGATAACTTATTTTATGAGATAAATTAAGGGTTGTTGAGAGGTTAGAACACTGGCATATGATTGAAGATAATTGTTAAAATCTGATGATGGAAGGAAGGAAGGAAGAATGACCAGTTTGGAGGTTTTTCCTTCAGATAAAAGCTGGAAACATTGGTAGAGTCTGTGTGTAGTTTAGAAGCTTCTACTAGGCCAGAGGACCAGCTTCAGGTTCCATTTTGGGGACTTTCCAACTCTGCACCTCACACTGAAGTCATTATGAATGGAACTCAGGAACTTTTCTGCTGGCTTTGTAGTTTGCCACCCTGCTTCCCCCTTTAAGGGAAGTTGTTTTGTATTTTGTTATTGTTTGTTTTTTAGAGGAGCTTAAAGTGGGAGCAGATAGGGCACATTCAGGGGAAAGCTAGCAAAGTGAGATTTGTCCTGGCTTGAAGTCACCTGTGTGAAGGTATCTAGGGAACCAGTGTCTTAGTGACTGTCACCCTATGTCCATAGGTTCCTCTTTTCTTCCATCTAAGATTTATCTTCTGAGATAAGAAGGTTTACATCACTAGAGAAAGCTGAAGGAGATACAAATGTCCCTTGGATGCTAAACTTGTTAAACATCAGGTTTAAAAATTAGCACCCATTGCAGTTTCAGTACTTTGGGGAATATTATTCCTCTGACACAGCAGGGACTGTATAATCATAGTGTGGGTAAAAGAACTCTGATGATTTGGGAAAACTGACACAATATCAGGCCTATCAGTACTTCCCTAATGTGAAGTGAAGTCTGAAAAATTAGACTGAGATAACTCAGTGGTTATCTCCCCAGTTAAAGCATTTGCTGTGGAGCTGTGAGTCTCTACAACCCATGCAAAGGCAGGTGTGGTGGCATTGGTCAGTACTCCCAGTGCCCTCTAGAGTGATGAGAGGCAGGGATAGAATTCCCAGCTTGTGGACCAGCTAGCTTGGCACATGAAGCAGGAAGAACTAAAAGGCTCTTGCTCAAATGAGGTGGAAGGTGAGAAGTGACACCCAAGATTGTACTCCTGCCTCCACACATACATTATGACACCTATACATCTGGGTCCACACACATACACACTATGTACACACAAAAGAAAGTTAAAAAAAGTTTGGTTGAGGCTTGGAGCTCTCACCATTCAAGACAGACATTTTAGGCTGGAGTGTAGCTCAGTTGGTAGAGCGTGCCCAGAGCTATGGGTTCAGTTCCCTGGCACCACATAGAGTATGGTATTGTGGTACACACATATACTTCCAACATTTAGGAAGTGGAGGCATGAGGATCAGGCTTGAAGTCATTCTCAGCTACCTAGAGAGTTGGAGACTACTTTCTCAAAACAAACAAAAGACAAACATTTTATCAAAAGCATTTTTACATCCCCACCATGAATGGGAAATAGCCAAAATACTGGTGTTTGAATCCAGCGCTGCCATATGGGATGGTGTAGGATTCAGTTGTATGGATCATGCAGTCATATCTGCTCATAATAAATACATTTTTTTTAAAACCCTTGCATAAAAATCATTGTAATTAAGAAAAGGAATGTTTTTCTTTTTTAGTTGAAAAGTGTAAATGAATATGATAAATAATTCATCACAGAGAATAAAAAGTAGCAACCTACTCCTAGAGATAGCTATGTTCTCCAGTATTACTCTTTAAGACAGTTTTCATGGGAGCTAGAGAGATGGCTCAGGTTAGGAGCACTGGCTGTTCTTCCAGAGGACCTGGGTTTGATTCCCAGCAACCACATGGTGGCTCATAACCATCTACATCTCCAGTTCTAGGGGACCTGAAGCCCTCTTTTGGCTTTCATGGGCACCAGGCATGCATGTGGTACACAGACATAAATGCAACAGAAATAGTTATACACGTAAAATTTTTTAAAATTAAAAAGCTTTTGAGGAAAGAAAAAGATAGTGTTCATTCCCATATATGAGCATATCCACATGGTTTATACAAAAGTAAGATATTTTGTAATTTCATAAGATATTTTTAAAGGATGGCACCAGTTATATTTTAGGCTATAGTAATATAAAGCATTTGTAATCCTTTCTGCTCCTGAGCTACATCAAATAAAATGATTGGTATGCTGAGTGATGTGCTTTCTTTGTACATATGCATTATATTTAACAAATAAGAAACTGTAATCACTTCTTGGCCTTTCTGCTGAGGTCAAATGAAGAAATTGTTTAGATAAAGCTTAATTTTATGAATGAGGAAAACCACTTGAAATTTAAGTGTCTTCTCTGGTGACAAACTGTGCTATGATAGAAATTTATCCTAATTGTGTCTGACACATTTTCATAGTTATACAGGAGAAATAGGCAAC